TCAATATTTTTTTTAATCAAGTTATATAAAAGTGATATTGGTGATGGCTTTAACTTTAAGATTATAAGAAACTATCAGTGTTTGGGCCAAGATCTCCAACCATCATTTTGAAATTATGCTTGAGCTTGCGTACTTACTGTATTTTTGTGCCACAAAAGGTTATATATATATATATATCCATAATCTCTCAATTAAAAACAGATTTAAGATACAACTTACACAATCATATACTATACAAGAAGCCTTACCTCCACAACTTATTAGTCAAAGGTAAAGCTTTCAGTATAGTATAGGGTTGTGGAAGTTGTATCTCAAACCAGTTCTTAATTGGGAGGTTATGAATATAACCTTTTTTCTTGCATCGATACAAAAGTAGATCGAGTCCAAAAATTCAAGTTTGATTTCATACAAATGGTTGAAGATCTTCCCAAACATCTTTGGGTGCCATTGCAACGTTCTCATACTAAAGGTGGGTCACAAGCAATATGTAGAACTAGAACTGGTCTTTGCATCATAAGCCCAGACTGTGTAGGTACACCAAACCCAATATTCGGGTCAGGTATACCTAACAAACATGAGCTTATGATGTAAGGACCACTGGAAATTCCTGATATTGCTTGTGGCACGTCTTTTTTGTACTCTCAGAACGTTGCAATGGTGCCTAAAGGTGTCTGGGCCAAGATCCACAACACATGGTTGTGTTCCACATGCTTCTTCTTGTCATTGGTTGATTGAATGCACGCCTTTTTTTGTCATTATTTCTTGGCTGAACACGATCAAATAACCAAGCTTTCAAACGATTGATTCTCCATACAAGGATGAAAACTGAATAGAAAGAGTGGTCACAAATGCATAATTTTGAGGAGATCTGACAAAAATGGCTTTTTCTTTATAGGTGTCCCGATTAATTTGATAAATACTTGTGAACATTCTCATAGTAAAAATACGGCAGGCCACGAGCAACACCAAATGGTAGGTACACCATTTGAATGTTCTTATAGTGGTTTTTCCAATATAAGTCCAAGTTTATTAGCTACACCAAACCCAATGCTTGGGTTTGGTGTACCTAACAAACATGGGTATATGATGTAAAGACCACTAGCAATTCTGGATATTGCTTATGGCCAGTCTTATTTTATTTTGGAAATGTTGCAATGGTGCCTAAAAGTGTTTGGGTCAAGATCTCCAATACATGGTTGTGTTCCACAAGCTTTTTCTTGGTGGTTGATTAATTGCACGCATTTTCATGTTATCATTTCTTGGGTGAACATAATTAAAATGTCAAGCTTTTCAAACGACTGATTCCCCATCGAGGAATGAAAACTGAATAGGAAGAGTGGTCATGAATGCATAATTGTTAGGAGACATGGTGAAAAAGGCTTTTTTCTTAAAGGTGTCACAATTAATTTGGTTTATACTTGTGAACATTCATATAGTAAAAATAAAGTGTGCCATAAGTTTTATCTGGAATTGATATTGGTATTTTCGTCATTAGTCCAAGATGATTGGGTTTGCTGTACCTAACAAACATGGGCTAATGATGTAAAGACCACTAACAATTCTAGATATTGCTCATGGCCCGTCTTATTATACTATGAAAACTTTGCAATGGCGCCTAAAGATGTTTGGGCCAAGATCTCCAGCACATGGTTGTTTTCCACATACTTCTTCTTATCGGTGGGTCATTGAATGCACGCCTTTTATGGTATTTTTTCGTGGCTGAACACGATCAAAATGTCAAGATTTCAAATGGTTGATTCCCCATTCAAGGATGATAATTGAGAAGGAAGAGTTGTCATGAATGTATAATTTTGAGGAGGCATGACGAATAGGGGTTTTTCCTTGTAGATGTCACAATTAATTTGATTAATATTTGAGAACGTTCTCATAGTAAAAATAAGACGAGCCACAAGCAATATCTGGAATTAGTACTGATCTTCGCATCATAAGCCCTGGCTGATTAGGTACAAAAAACAGAATGATCGGGTTTGGTATACCCAACAAACATGGGCTTATGACGAAAAGACGAATACCAATTCTATATATGGCTTGTGGCATGCCTTATTTTTACTATAAGAACATTGCAATAGCGCCTAAAGGTGTTTGGGTCAAGATCTCCAGCACATAGTTGTGTTCCACATGCTTATTTTTCTCAGTTGTGGATTGAATGCACGCCTTTTTTTGGTATTATTTCTTGGCTGAACACAATAAAAAATGTCAAGCTCTCAACCGATTAATTTCCCACCCAAAGATGAAAGTTGAATAGAAAGAGTGGTCATGAATGTATAATTTGGAGGAGACATGACAAAAATAGCTTTTTCCTTGTAGGTGCCACAACTAATTTGATTAATACTTGTGAACATTCTCATAGTAAAAACAAAGTGGACCACGAGTAATATTTGATATTGTACTGACTTTTATGTCATAAGCCCATGCTGATTAGGTACACCAAACCCAATGATCGGGTTAAAAATACCTAACAAACCTGGGCTTATGACGAAAAGACCAGTGCCAATTCCAGATATTGCTCCTGGTACTCTTTATTTTTACTTTGAGAACGTTACAATGTTGCCTAGCAGTGTTTGGAATAAGATCTCCAGCACATAGTTATGTTCCACATGCTTTTTCTTGTTGGTGGTTGATTGAATGCATGCCTATTCTTGGTATTATTTATTCGCGGAACATAATTAAAATGTCAAGCTTTCAAATAATTGATTCCGCCTACAAAGATGAAAATTGAATAGGAAGAGTGGCCATGAATGCATTATTTTGAGGAGATATGACGAAAAGGTCCCTTTTCTTGTAGGTGTCACAACTAATTTGATTAATACTTGTGAACATTCGCATAGTAAAAATTAGGCTGGTTACAAACAATATCTTGAATTAGTACTGGTCCTTGCGTCATTAGCCCTGGTTGATTAGGTACACCAAACCCAATGCTCGGGTTTGGTGTACCTAAGAAACTTGGGCTTATAATGCTAACCCCACTACTAGTTCAAGATATTGCTCGTGGCCTTCCTTATTTTCACTATGAGAACGTAGCAACAGTGCCTAAAGGTGTTTGGGCCAAGCTCTCCAGCACATGATTATGTTTCATAACCTTGTTTTTGGTGGTTGATTGGTTGCACGTATTTCCATAGTATTATATTTTGACTGAACATAATTAAAAAGTCAAGCCTTCAAACGACTGATTACCCATAGAAGGATAAAAATTGAATAGGAAAATTGGTCATGAATGCATAATTGTTAGGAGGCATGGTGAAAAAAGCTTTTTTTCTTGTAGGTGTCACAATTAATTTAACTAATACTTGTGAACATTTTCATAGTAAAAATAAGGTGCACAACAAGCTTTAACTGGAATTGGTATTGGTCTTTTGTCATTAGCTTAAGATGATTAGGTACGACAAACCCAATAATCATGTTTGGTGTTTCCAACAAACCGTGGCTTAAGATCTCTACCACATAGTTGTGTTTCACATGCTTTTTCTTGTTGTTGATTGATTGAATGCACGCCCTTTCTTGGTATGATTTATTCGCTGAACATAATCAAAATGTCAAGCTTTCAAATGATTGATTATGCATACAAGGATGAAAATTGAATAGGAAGAGTGGTCATGAATGCATTATTTTGAGGAGGTATGACGAAAATGTCCCTTTTCTTATAGGTGCCACAACTAATTTGATTAATGCTTGTGAACATTCGCATAGTAAAAGTAAGGCGGGCTACAAGCAATATATGGAATTAGTACTGGTCCTTGCGTCATTAGCCCTGGTTGATTAGGTACACGATATCCAATGCTCGGGTTTGGTGTACCTAAAAAACTTGGGCTTATAATGCTAACACCACTACTAGTTCAAGATATTGCTCGTGGCCTTCCTTATTTTCACTATGAGAATACAGCAAAGGTGCCTAAAGGTGTTTGGGCCAAGATCTCCGGCACATGAATGTGTTCCACAACCTTCTTTTTGGTGGTTGATTGATTGCACGTATTTCCATGCTATTATCTCTTGACTGAACATAATTAAAAAAGTCAAGCCTTCAAACGACTGATTCCCCATAGAAGGATGAAAATTGAATAGGAAAATTGGTCATGAATGCATAATTGTCAGGAGGCATGGTGAAAAAGGCTTTTTTCTTGTAGGTGTCACAATTAATTTGATTAATACTTGTGAACATTCTCATAGTAAAAATAAGGTGCACAACGAGCTTTAACTGGAATTGGTATTGGTCTTTTGTCAGTAGCCCAATATGATTAGGTACAACAAACCCAATGATGTAAAGACCACTAGCAATTCTAGATATTCATCATGGCCCACCTTATTTTTAATATGAAAACGTTGCAACGGCGCCTAGAGGTGTTTGGGCCAAAATCTCCAGCACATGGTTGTGTTCCACTTGTTTCTTCTTTGCGATTGGTCATTGAATGCATGCCTTTTTATTGGCTCAAAAAGTTTATCTATGTTACCAAACATAGTGCTAGACATTACAATTTCTAATTATCATATCTTAACGTTCCGAGAAAATCTTCATAAAAACTAGATAGTAAAATTTTTTAATTTATAATAACTATTTTATTTTAGAAATTAGTTGATGGTATAAAATAATAGTATTCGATTTTAGAATATTTTAATTTTTAGTTTAAGTAATATTTTTACACCAAAAAATCTTATGTGCAATTCCAAAATAAATAAAATTTGAAGTTATTAATTTTTTATGTTTTACATCCCAAAAAAATATTGATATATCTGAAACTTGATTTCAATAAAAATATTTTAACTATAGAAAAAATAATAGACAAAAAAAATGTAAAAACCCTTTTTTTACCACGTGACTAATTAAATAAAAACCAGATAAGTAAAGGAAAAATCCCAAATCGATTTGGGGGTTAGGGTTCGTAAGCAAAAACATGATATCAGACACAATTTCAATCAAACACGATCCCCTTAAAAATTCATAAGAGACGACTATAGAGAAGATAAGCGGATGCAGTGGAGTCAAAATGAGGTAAGGACGCTTTTCAATCAATTAACTAGATGAATTTTCAGATTTCCGAGTTTCAAATCGTGGTTCTGAGTTTCCTCATCTGGGTTGTGGATTATCGAGTAGTAGCCAGAATGCAATTTCTCTGGGTTTGTAAGTATAATCGTGTATCTTTCTAGCTTATTTACCACTTTATGTTTTTCATTCACAGTGATGAAACCGAAATCAAAGTGAATATCTACTTCGGTGGAAGTTTGAAGAAAATGGATGAAGATTATGAGTACATAGGCCAATTTGGTTTCCAAACGAAGATATGGAAAGTTTCTGAGATAAAATGGGAGACATTCGAAGATTTCATTCAAGGGGAAATGGTCTCAACTTCAATTGCTATAGTTTGGTACAAAGACCCACGAGAGAAGATGAAGAACATTAAGTATGTGTTTCAGAGCAACAGTGAGGATATGTTTGAGCTACATTCAGCTGGGAAAGTAACTGGTGAGATACTTTTGGTTGGAATAAAAAGGAGTATGATGGTCATGAGAATGATAGTGATGATGGGTACGAGCCTGAAAGGGAAGATGATAGCGATGATGATGCTGTGGATAGACTAAGAGAAGATGAAGAAGGAGAGCAATCCGAGGATGAAGCACCACCAGAGGAGGTAACACCTGCAGAGGAGGAAGCACCTGCAGAGAATGTTCAGATTGATGATGGAGATGATGTTGTCGTCGATGCAGGTGATGGTAGTAATGATGACAGGTTTAAGTCTCTGTTTGAAGAAGGTGCACGGACAAGTGCAGATGCTATGGCTGCACTGAGTAGAGATACTGAAGAAAAGGAAGAAGAAGCAAGGGAAGCAGATGAAAGTGAACAAGAAGATAGGTTAGGGGATGTTGTGTATCCAGATACACCAGTATCGTCAGATGAGGAGTGGGATCAATGGATGAGGAAAAAAAAATGGAGCAGGAAAGTTCAATTCCATGGGGATTTAGATAAGGAGCCTTACTTGTGACTGTTTCAGAAATTCAACAGTGGATTAGAGCTTAAGGATCAGCTTTTGCGTTATTCACTTAACACACAATACGATGTGAAGATGGCAAAATCAGAAGCGAACAGGATAGCTGCTGTTTGTTGCACAGGGGAATGCTCTTGGAGAGTTTTCTGTTCAGTTGAAGTTCCTCATAATAAGAGGATGGTAAAAGTGTGTAATTACAAACACAATCATGAAAAATTAAGCAGGATGTCCATGTTGAAGCAAGGCATGATTGCTGGACTTTTCAGAGAAGAGTTAAGGAGGAATACAAGCTTACAAGCAGCAGAGATAAAGGATACCATAAAGGCAATGTATAACATTGTTGTACTTATTACAAAGTGCTATAGAGGAAGACGGATTGCTCTGGATACAATCCTTGAAGCTCAATCAATCCAGTTTGGCAAATTATGGGATTATGTAGCGGAACTTCAAAGATCACATGAAGGCCTCACGACTGAGTTGTGCACCACAGAGGTGAATGGTATTCCCATCTTTGACGCCTTTTATATATGTTTTAGAGAAATTCGTGACACTTGGAAGAGATGTTGTAGACCAGCTATTGGCTTAGATGGTTGTTTCTTTAAATGGGAATTGGATGGAGATTTACTTACAGCAGTTGGTAGAGATGCAGATAACCGAATATATCATATAGCATGGGCTGTGGTTAAAAGTGAAAACAAAGACACTTGGGGCTGGTTTATAAACAAGTTAAGAGTGAATCTTGGCTTGGGTTTAGGAGAACACTTAACCCTCATATCTGACAAACAAAAGGCAAGTATATTTTTTTATTCTGTATGAATTTGATTTGTGTTTGATAGTTAAGATGTCTAATAATTTTTGTGGGGTTGTGTTAGCAATCGAAAAGGAGCTACCTAAAGCTGAGCATCACATGTGTGCAAGACATATATATGCGAACTGGAAGAAGAATTTCAGCCGATCAGAATATAAAAATCTGTTTTGGGGGGTTGCTTATAGCTACAATGTAGGAGAATATGAAGAAAAAATCACGATGATTCGTAACTATGATCCTGCTGCTTGCGAGGCTTTTCTAGCAACAGAACCTGAGAAGTGGTGTAGATCATTTTTCACAACTGAGTCTTAATGCCATGATGTGCACAAAAACTTATTTTTCAATAGAACAATCAAGATTGCGAGATTGAAGCCTGTTCTTAGCATGTTGGAGGATATTCGCAGACAAGCCATGAGAAGGATAGCACAGAGGTACCTAAAAGCTGAGAACTGTAAAACAATTCTCACGCTTGTAACAATGGCCTTATTGGAGAAAGCAAGAGTTGACAACAAGTACTGCTCGACGATAAGAAGTAGTTCCAATGTGTATGAGGTTGTTGAGTTTGAATGTTGATACACACTTAATTTATCAACTCGCCAGTGTGCTTGTAGGCGTTGGGATCTCACGAGTATGTGGTTCTTCTTCCTTATCTTGTTAAATTTTTTTTATTTCTCTTATTAAGTCTTGGGGTTTTGAGTTTAGGTATACCTTGCAAATATGCAATGTGTGTTCTAGACGACAATGCGCAAAGTCTTGTGAAGTATGTATCTGGCTATTACTATGCAAATGTTATGAAAGATACATATAAGGAAAACATGAAACCAGTGAATGGTGAGAAGCTGTGGATCAAAACATGGAAAACTCCTGTTGGAATTCCTGGGTTTCGCAAGCCGAGAGGGAGACCTAAAAACCGTGACAGAAAAAAGGAGCCTTTTGAAGATCTGAAAAATTCAGGAAAAGCAACTAGGCATGGGAGAACACCTCATTATAGTAACTGTCTTAAGATGGGACACATTAAAAGCGGCTGTAAGAATGAGAAGGTTGAAGTTGAGGGACCAAAAAACAAATATGGTAGAGCACGTTCCTAGTGAGGTAAGTGTTTTGCTTCGGATGGTGATCAATATGATAATGATGATAATAATGATGAATCTGAAATATTTTTGGGCTATCGGAAGAATCTGGATGATAATGGCATATTTTCGTTTTGCTTGTGATGATGCTAAGTTGTTTGAGTTTTGTTTCAGGTACCAAACCGTCCTACGAAGCCAAGAAAGAGGAAAACTCCACCTGTTAGCAGCTCTCAACCAGTACCGCCCACTGAATCTTCACAACCAGTACCGCTCAATGAATCCTCTCAACCTCTACAGCCCAGTGAATCAAAGTCTTCATATCCTGCTACATCTAGTGCACCTGAGCCAACAACCTCATCAACCCAACCAATACCACAAGAGAAGAAGCCAAAACGTGGCCGGCCTTTGAAGATTACAAAAACAGGTCCAATTCCTCGAGGTTTTGGATCTTTGTGGTGTCCATACACGGATTGAGTCTTTGAGGTGATAAACAATAGGGCATATGATACTAACCCTTTTGCGAGTACACCAGAACCTCCAACATAATGTATTTCTTAATTGTTGGTGAACTACATTTTCTTTTGCTGCTTTTATGACTCTCTATTGAGCTATGTTTGTTGCTTCTATGACTCTATATTGAGCTATGTTTTGTTGCCTCTATGAGTGGGAGTTATGTTTTTAATCGATTATGTTTGTTATCTTCAGTGTTTATGTTTTTTAAGTTCAAATAAAAACTACAAAAAACAAAAATAAAATTAAAACAAGAACCATAATAAGTTTTGATACTAATTCAAACAAAGCTAAAACAAATTTTAAGAAAAATTCAAACAAGAACCAGAAAAGCCGCAATAAATTTTAACAAACACTACAAGAAATCCAACATTAAGTTCCAATTTTTAACAAGCACTACAAGCCGATTTTTGCTCCAAGACTTCTACTTCCACATCACCATCATGACTCCGAGTACTAGAGTAAATTCAATCGTTGAAGATATCAACACATTACGGTAAATCCTACTCCTCTCGTTTAATATCAAGACTTCTCGCTTGAGAGCCTCGCATTCTTCATGAGTTTGTTTTCACTCATCCTTCAACTCATCCACTAATGCACTTGGATCTTCCATCTTGTTTTCAGCCTCATGAGTCAAAGCTCTTACCACCTCCCTTAAGTTCTTAATCTCCTCTTTTTGCACTCGCATTATATCTCTAGCTCTAACAAAGCTAGATATTGCCACCCATGTGGTTTCTCCACATCATACAAACGGAAGAAATTGCATTGCTCATACCCATGACCAGCCCGGTGACCTTTACAAGCATAGAATCTGCGTCCAGCACATAGTTTGGTTTCACATGCTTATATTTGTCAGTTGTTGATTGAATGCTCGCCTTTTCTTGGTATAATTTCCTGGCTGACCACAATAAAAAATGTCAAGCTCTCAAACGATTAATTCCCCACCCAATGATGAAAATTTAATAGAAAGAGTGGTCATGAATCCATAATTTGGAGGAGGCATGACGAAAGGGGCTTTCCTTGTAGGTGCCACAAGTAATTTGATCAATACTTGTGAACATTCTCATAGTAAAAACAAAGCGGACCACAAGTAATATCTGATATTGGTACTGGCTTTTACGATATAAGCCCATGTTGATTAGGTATACCAAACCTAATGATCGGGTTAAAAATACCTATCAAACCTGGGCTTATGACGAAAAGACAAATGCCAATTCCAGATATTGCTCGTGACACTGTTTATTTTTACTACGAGAACGTTACAATGATGCCTAGCAGTGTTTGGGATAAGATCTCCAGCATATAGTTATATTCCACATGCTTTTTCTTGTTGGTGGTTGATTGAATGCACACCTTTTCTTGGTATTATTTATTCGCTGTACATAATCAAAATGTCAAGTTTTCAAATAATTCATTCCTCATACAAAGATGAAAATTGAATAGGAAGAGTGGTCATGAATGCATTATTTTGAGGAGGTATGACGAATGTGTCCCTTTTCTTTTAGGTGTCACAACAAATTTGATTAATACTTGTGAACATTCGCATAGTAAAAATAAGGCGGGCTTCAAAAAATATCTGGAATTAGTACTGGTCCTTGCGTCATTAGCCCTGATTGATTAGGTACACCAAATCCAATGCTCGGGTTTGGTGTACCTAAAAAACTTGAGTTTATAATGCTAACCCCACTACTTGTTCAAGATATTGCTCGTGGCCTTCCTTATTTTCACTATGAGAACATAGCAACGGTGCCTAAAGGTGTTTGGGCCAAGATCTCCAGCACATGATTGTGTTCCACAACCTTGTTTTTGGTGGTTGATTGATTGCACGCATTTCCATGGTATTATCTCTTGACTGAACATAATTAAAATTTCAAGTCTTCAAACTTCTGATTCCCCATAGATGGATGAAAATTAAATAGGAAAATTGGTCATGAATGCATAATTGTTAGGAGGCATTGTTGTAAGAGGCTTTTTTCTTGTAGGTGTCACAATTAATTTGAATAATACTTGTGAACATTCTCATAGTAAAAATAAGGTGCACAACGAGCTTTAACTGGAATTGGTATTGGTCTTTTATCATTAGCCCAAGATGATTAGGTACAACAAACCCAATGATCGTGTTTGGTGTTCCCAACAAACCATGGCTTATGATGTAAAGATCACTAGCAATTCTAGATATTGCTCATGGCCCACCTTATTTTTAATATGAAAATATTGCAATGGCGCCTAGAGGTGTTTGGGCCAAGATCTGTAGCACATGGTTGTGTTCCACATGTTTCTTCTTTGCGATTGGTCATTGAGTACATACTTTTTTGTTGGCTAAAAAATATTATCTTTGTTACAAAACATAGTGCCAGATATTATAATTTCTAATTATCATATCTTAACGTTCCAATTTTGTTTTTAAATAATTGGATATTAAATGTTTATTAATTTATATTAATTATTTTTTGGAAATTTGTTGGCGGTCTAAAATAATAATATGTAGATTTTTTAATATTTTAAATATTAGTTAAGTAATATTTTTACACCAAAAATCTTATTTGCAATTCCAAAATAAATACAATTTGAAGTTATTAATTTTTTATGTTTTACATCCCAAAAAATATTGATATATCTCAAACCTGATTTCAATAAAAATATTTTATCTATAGAAAACATAATAGACACCAAAAATTTATAAAAATGACGTTCGACTTCACAGATCTTATTTCTCACTTCACATTTTTTATGGTAAAATTTTTAATTACAATTTTTATTTTACATTGAAAAATTATAAATTATAATACAAAAATATTTATCCTGCGACTATATCTAATAAAAATAAAAGAGAATGAAAAAGAGCAGTGGAAATCGGATAAAATATTTATTTCAAAATGGAAAATTGTATAAAACAATATAAAAAATTTATAAAATTTATAAAATGGTTGCAGATTAGTTAGAATTTGGACCATGTCTCTCTCGTTCTCTCTTATTAACATGAGTCAATTCTTAATCCAATAAAAAATAGCAATTTTATCAACTAATAAAAAATTATTATTCTTAACCCAATTAAGAATCATAAGCCTAGCCCAACATAAAACTCATATAAACTCTAAAAAGGAAAACAAAAGCTATAATTATAAATAGGATGTGACAACTTCTCCATTAGAAACCCTAAGCAAAAAATATTCATTAAGCCGCCACAAAGGAAAAAAGAAGAAGAGATAGAGAAAATTAGTGGAAAAAAAGAGAAAAATCAGAAGGCAAATATAAATTAAGAGAGAAGGGATTATGACGGAATGAGAAGAAATTAAATTCTATCTGCTCTAGTGTGATCGACCAATCCTACAAGCTGAGATATAATCTCAAAGTTTGTTTCATTAAATTTGTTTTGAGATTTTTATTGCACCATAGAATCATATATATAATGAGCAAATTATCTCTCCATCTAAGGTGTCCACATCAGCATAATTTTTATTTTAAAATGGGCTTTTAAATATTTTGAGTTTTGTTTTTATGTTTTTATATTTGGGGTATTTATGTTTTGGGCTCTTAATATGATTAATTTTTTAAAAATACTTATTTTAAAAATCATAAAAATTACAAATTTTTCATTTGTGAAAAGGAGTTTGGAAGAATTTATTCGAAAAACTTACAGAAAATAATTATCAAATTTTATAAAAAAACCTTAGAAAGATTTATATATAAAGCTAAAGTAAAATCATATATATTAAACAAATACTTATTTTATAAACTATAAAAACTACAAATTCTCTCTGAAATAAAAAAATTCAAAAAGTTATTTCTAATATAAACAAACATAATTTGAAAAAAGAGTTGGAAAATAAACAATTACGAAATATGACAGAAGAACTTGCTGAGAATAGTTATCAAACTTATTTAAAAATGCTCTGAATTATTAATGTTTAAAACTAAAGTAAAATCATTCATATCTACTTTAGTGTATAAAATGAATGAAACTTTTTTATAAATAAAGAAAAATAAAGTCTGTAATTATATAGCATAGAAATAAATTTGATTTATACGAAGGAGGAAAAAAATGGCAAATACTTCTCAACCGTTTTTCTTAATGTTGGTAATATAAAATTGATACACGATCACATTACTCATCAACCGGATAATATATGAGTTTTAATTTAAAATATATAAATAAACTAAAACAAGATTATTGATTATACTTTTTAAGATAGTCATATTGTTTACATTCACATGATATGAAAATAAACAAAAATATTCTCACACATTCACAAATATGGTCATGTAGTTCATCACTAAAACAAAAACCGCCTCAAATCAATTAAAATCAACAATTTATAAACTATGCATAATTTTTTGATATAAAAACCCATCAAATATATGTAATATTTGAACAGATCTTTTGCTCTGTCTAGCCAACTCTAACTAAAATTCTCCTTATTTAGAGTTATAACCGATCATAGAACTGAATGAGATGGAAGCTTGCATGAAATAAGAAAAAAATTCAATAGATTGCAATCACAATAGCGAGACTAAGAGCTATAAAAAAAAGGGGGAAAATAAAGGACTAATTGTGCTTGAAAATGAGATAGATTCCATAAAAAATTAAAGGAAAATTTAGTTTAGAGTGGAGAAAGATAAATGATGATTTCACTTTGTTAATCTATGAAAAGAAGATGTAAACAAAGATGAGAAATCAATTCAATACATATAAACAGTAAGAATATAACAATTAATACATGACAATCTATATTAGAAAAATAATTTTACAATTTAAATATATATTAGGACAACAAAAACATTTAAAAAATAATAGAGAAATATAATATACAATAGTATTAATTTAATATAATATATAAAATTTTAATAAATTAATGTAAGTATCATTAATTTGTTAATTCTCAATTAGATTAAAAATATTGTAAGTATTATTTTTATTTAAACGCTAACTAACTTATTAATTCATTTTTTTAAAACCAGATTTA